TAAAGCATTATATAGTCATTAAGCTGTTTGAATACTTAATAAGTGCAGTTTTTCAATGCAATTAAGTAAAAGGGAAATCAAAATTTATGTATCTTTGTCTCAATTGTATTAAAGCACTTTGAGTGTCATAGTAAATAAGTCTGGCTCTTTAAAAACAAAAATGACATTAACTATGTCTTTAAAAGCCCAATAAATAAGAGTATTAGACATTACTTGCTTCCCAAACAAAATTCTTTGGCATTAACCCCTCCCTACCCACACTGCCTTTGGGAATGTAAAGTGGTGCAGCCACCTCAGGGAAGAGTCTGGAAGTTCTTCACAGGTTCAACAGAGTTACCACATGACCAGCAGCTCCACTCCTAGGTACAGACCCAAGAGAAAGGAAAAGGTCAACCTGAAAGTTCATTGCAACATTGTTCACGGTCGTCCTGGTGTGGAAACAACCCAAATGCCCACCAAGCAGTCAATGGCTAAATAAAATGTAGTATTTACATAATGGACTATTATTCATGATCTATGTCAACATGGATGAACCCTGAATCATGTTACTAAGTGGAAGAGGCCAGACACTAAGAACTGAAGATTCAGTATGTGACATTCAGAACAGGCAAGTCCACAGAGGCAAAAAGATTCCTGGCTGCCAGGACAGGTAAGGTGGGGGGACATGAGTCGGTGGGGAGGGCTTTTAATGCTTCTAATGGGTACAGATTTGGGGAAGGAATATGCAAATGTTATAAAGCTAGTTGTAGCAATGGCTGCAAAACTCTTTGACTACATTAAACCATGAAAGGCACTTCGATTGGGTGAATGGTATGGCATGTGCACTACACCTTACAAAAGCTGGTATCAAACACACACAGTGGTGTCTCTTGTCCTGCATCCTGCCAGTGCTTCAGGGCACATTCCGTGCTCCTTCATGATTGATGACAACAGATCCTCTTGTGGACCTAGAAGTCTCTGTTCAGGGTCTCATGCCAACCCTAATTGGCTTCAAGCATGTCTTTCATTTCTTGCTTCCTTAGCAAAACCCCTGGGTAACTCCCTGATATTTTCACAGGTTGTTAAAGCACTTGGGGGTGAGCTCTGCCTGGGCGCCATCTCTCTTCTGATGGCCCAGAAACGAGTGGACAAACTCTCTAGCCCTTACCTTGCCCCTCTCGAGCCAGGCTCGCACTTCAGCCTGGTCTCCTTCCTCATCCTCTCATCAGATCCAGTCTTGCCACTGTCCCAAGGTCTCACGGTGGTACAGACGGAGGGGAGGGTGGCTCAGAAAGCAGCACAGCGGAGGTTGGATTTACTCAGTTTCCAGAAATTAACCCTGAGGCTTAAACAAGTCAGAGTGGCTGAAGGACACAGAATGGTGGACCCGCAAGAAGAAAGGGGCTTTTAAGAAGTACTGCTGGGGAATCACACAATTCTTAATTGTTTACAAAAGTAGTTTTAAAAAGTTATTCTTTGAGACTGTTTTTGGTTACATAAGCTATGTTGTTTTTTGACATCCCTCAGATTAGATCACACGGCTCACTGCTTCATAAATGTATGTATTGATAGTTTATAGTTTAAACACATCTCTTCCTGATACTATTGCCATCATCTCATACACACGGGCTGTGAGAGAGAGAAGGGTAAAATTATGATCATCAAGAGTCTAGCTGATAAGCGTTAATGATTTCCTCTGAGTTTGGGGTATGGGATTCTTTGTATTTCTCTGTACTTTTCAAATTTTGTGTCTACAATGAATATCTATAAAGTAAACCACTGATGAAAGACCATCTGCAGAGCAGATCCTGGGGAAAAGCAAATAACAATCAAATAACAGAATATCTTAGCTCAGAGCACACTGAGGTTTCCAATAACCTGAGCGTGGGTCAGCCTCCTGGCTTCAAGGGCTGTGTGCCTCCAATTCCAATCATGGGCTTGGGAGAGCTTGATTCTCATAGGTGAAGCTTCTCCATCCTGGAAACCATCTTCTTTGGATGGCATAAGCCAAGAACAGATGTACAAAAATCCCTATGCAAAACTAGGTCTGGGTTCAAATCCCATTCACTGACTGAAGAAGTAACTCTTTTACCGTAAGTGAGGGGTGGTTAAACTGTTGAGTCCCAAGTTTCCAATTCTGACTATTTCAACAAAATTAATACCGTGTATGAAAGTAGGTTGAAAATCATAATCTAGAGCTACATATAATTAGCATATAATGTTTAATATAGAACAACAGCTATATAATTAATAAACTATATTAATATGATCTTTATGATTATAATCATTCATATTAATTATAATATATAATTCTATGTTGTTTTAATTATATTCTTATATGTTATTTTACAGTTTTACAGATGTTCCACATCCGAGACTACAAAACGGAATAGGTTACGGGAAGTAGAATTAGACCAAAGACAGAAGAAATGGCAACTATCTCCAAAGTTGTGGGGAGAAAGTCCTGGGGACAGTCCAAGGACACCACTGTGGGAAGTTATGGGGAGGAGGCAAGTCTCACCTGATTCAGGAAGAACATTCCAACCTTAACAGAGATGTCCACCCAGGAGGGATCTTCCTCTTCAAAACAGTTCAACCTTCACCAGAAGCTGGATCTCATCATTTCATACACTTAAAAAGCCCTTCAGTTATCAGAAGAGCTGAACCTCCTAGACTCACCACCTCTCCAACCCAGACCTCTTGGTTCTAAGGACCAGCACTCTCTGCACCCACTTTGGTTCATTTGGGTTTATTTTTATTAGGACAATCGCCCATAGTCCTTAGGCCAACGTGTAACTCCACAAAAAGTAACCCTTGATTTAGTGAAACACTGATTCCCCAGATGCAACTACCAGCTGCGTCTCTGTGGCCCTCTTGGAGCTCAGTGGTTGGCCAGTGAGTGACTGCCCTCTTGTGGAAATGAAGAATACAGCTGCTTAGAAAAGTACTCCACTTCTGGTCTTACCTCCCCCTACAAGCATAACATTTTGGTGTGGGCCACAAAGTTCTTGACCTCAGCCCCAGGCATCATTTTGTCTCCCAAGATCCTCATCCTCAGCCACAATACAAAGCCTGGGTTTCTAGACAGTGGTGGGACTTTGTAGACTCTACTTCTGTGAACAGTGACCTTTAGAAGTCAATGCAGTGCTAAGGAAAGGGTGCTGGACCAGGTATAAATTCATGTTTGATCATTCTGTGTGATCTACTCATAAAAAGAAAAAAAAAATCTGTTGATAAGGGGCTACAAGGCCATGACCACTTGAAATACTACAAATCTATTACATTTATAAAATGCTCTAGCAGTTTGGAGAGGAAATCCTTTGGAGAAAAGTGGTGAGTCACGTGTGCATGACTTACAGCTGCTCACCCCAGCTCAGAGCTATATGTGCTATTCTAGGCTAGTGACCCTCAGGCTCCTGCAGACTGGCCAACCCCAATCTTGTTCATCTGGGCCTCTGACCTCAGGGATAGCCACAGTCAGATGCTTTGCTGTTCTCTGAGATAGGAACGGCAGCAGATTGATCAGGGAGGGACTGTCATTTATAAAATGCTCTAGGAGTTTGGATAGGGAATCCTGTTTGTGTCTGCAAACATTTGCCAAGGTTTCTGGGCATGTTTTGCCACTCTTGTGGGGATACAAAGCTCTGTGATGATGAGTGATGGGGATTTCTCACTGAGTCTAAACATCGGTCACCTGCTCCCTGGAGGAGGGGCAGCTAAAGATACCACATGGCCGGCTGAAGCCCCAGGGAGGTGTTCAACTGAAAACTGGAAAAATGATTTGTAATAAAACTGGTTTGCAGCTGAATAAGGAACATGTTTCATTTTAAAAACCAATTTTCTTGTACTTATGTTTTCTCAAAAAGGAAAATCTCTTCCATAGACTGCCTTCCTAGGTTATTCTTGCTGTAGAATTGATGGTTTCACTTAAGTCTGGGAACTAATACTGGATTTAGCTCACTTTCCCTCACTACAGTCTTGGTTAGCAAACTTCAAAGGCTGACAGTGCTTTGTTGACCTCACCACCCACTCATGCTGAAAAGCAACATCTCAGTGAGGTATTTATGACAGGAGTCTGCAGACATTTTTTCACTTACATGAAATCTCACACACTGAAGTGATAGTCAACTGCAAGCAATAAATGTTCCATGAGTCATTTAGTTACCCCACCTTTGAAGATCCTTGTCTTTTTAACTGGTCTTTTATTGAAGGCTGGCAACTGGTATACAAAGGCTCCCAAAAAAATGTTTTCATTAAGAAATAAGTAGCAAACTAGCAAGAGAGCTGCTTATCCAATAAGTGTGGAGTATTATGGGAGAGTAATAAAGCAAACCTGTTTTAATAAAGTTCTGTTAGTAAAAAGAAGCCTACTGTGCCTGCCTGCCACGGACAGGATTTGTTCCAGGGTTTTATACCCAAAATCTCTGGGCCTCGTGATAACCCTCAAAGGCACATGAGCAGACTTATATTTCTTACATGAGTAAGTAAGGCCCTGCTGTTAGAGGTGGCGCAGAGAACTCAGGTGCTCCTTGTTTTGTCCTAAGCTCTCCCCTCTACACGTCCTCTGAAGCGGACTTCAGAGAAGAGGAAGAATAAGGGCAGGGAGCCCCCACTATGCCACATCCTCATGTTTTAACCAGTGGGTGTCTCTTACACTGGACACCCATCTAAGGTTTTATGTGAAGCGGTTCTGGCTTGATTCAAGATGTACTTCATTTTCTACTTATCACTCCCCCACACCCCCCACTTCATTTATAGCATGTAGAGTCTAGAAAATGTCTGAAACAAAGACATTGTAACTGTGGAAACTCAACCAGGAATCACACTACAGTTGCTATGGGAGCGATCACCGGAGAGATGGGAAAGGGCAGCCAGCAAGACACAAGGGTATAAAACATGGATCATGTCGCTGTAACACAGGGGGTTATGGTGGTTAGAATTGTGAACTGAAGAGACGCATCATCTATTTGCTTATTGCTGTTACTTTGCTGATGAGAAGATACAGAGTCACTGTAGGTAACTTCCATTTAATTTAACATTTATTTTCATTTTATATCCAGATGTCACATTTTCTACATTAAAATATAATCATGCTCAGTCTCCCCACCCCCACCCCTCAGAGAAAAAAGTGAAGACCTTTACACAACTGGAAAGATGGAATGCATAGAGTAGAAAGTCACTACTGCACCCGGGTAACACAGAACACGAACAAACGGCAGACATGGCACAAAAGCAAGCTCAGGGCTCACCAGGAAGGAGCAGGAGTGCACGAAACTCCACCACCTGTGCCACAAGACCACCCTGAAAAGGCAGAGCTGGGTCAGAAAGCAGGGCCAACAGGGGAACAAAGGCTGCTCCTAAACAGTCTGTAATATCCACAAACCTGAGAGCTCCCCACCCCACATTGTCTTAGCATCTGCTAAACTCTACAGAAACCCCTATTGGCATGTCAGCATGCAGAAGGGCTACAGCTCTTTATTTCTTCCTCTTTTATTGTACCCCAGCTCTTTCCAAACAACAACTCCACTAGTGGTTTTAATTATGATTTTCTTTGCATAGAAACCCAGTAGGGATCCCCAAGGAAGGCATCTCACCACAACCAGATGAATGCCGCTGTGCAAAGGGGCATGATTCTGCATGTTACTCAAAGGGAATCTGAACTCAGAGGTGCTGAGAGAAAAGGATACACCTTTTGTTGATCTATTCATTACATAGGAAAGAGCAGGTGGACAGTAAAAGCCATCTGCTTAGCGCAGAGCACAGACCCACAGGCACACCAATGACCCAGAAGAAAATGCTCAGGAAAGAGCCTCTTGACTCTTTTGAGACTTCTTCCAGACCTGATCTTGCTCCTAATTCTGAGACCAAAGCATTTAGCTTCAGATAGGGATTCTCTTGAGGGGGCTGAGGGGTCAGGTCTGAGAGACCCACACAATGAGAACATTATTAGGCAACTACACCACTATGTACAAATACATACATCAATAAGAAACTTCACCTCCATCCCTGCAGCTACTTTAAACAAAGCACTGAAGATCAGGTTTTCTGAACAGGGATATTTTGAAGTCTGTTAGCAGTTTAAGACATTGCAACACTGGCACAATGTTACCTATTCTTTGCTTTTAATTACAGGGTAACAGGTAAACTCCCACACACAGGTGGAGATGGAGGAGTGCAAAAGGAATCAAGAAGACGGAGCCAGTACTTCACAAGAGGTTCACGCCACAGCAGCAAGAACAGCAGCAGCTAGTGCTTTGCAGAGTCTCGAGGGTAAAATTCGCTCAGGGTGCTCTGGGGGATTCGCTTCAGCATTTCTTTGGGGAAGATTCGGAGCAGCTGCCAGCCAATGTCCAAAGTCTCATAAACTGTGCGGTTTTCATAAGGACCTGAAAAAATTGACACTGAATTAATAGCAAGGTCCTTCCTACTTCCAACTCATTAGTGCTATCCAATACTTATTCTGTTAAATGACTAGCAGGCCATGTGGGCATAATACAAGAAAGGAAACAGGTCAGGACTCTCAAGACTGAATGAGAGTGAGTGTGGAGACAAGAGCACAAAGTACTACGGGGAAGAGGTGGGACCATGGGTGAGAGACAGTGGGAGGTCTAGTGTGTGTGTCTGGGGACAGCAGTTTGAGCTGGAACTTGAAGATTTGGGTGGAATGCTTGAAAAATGGAAACCAGACCCAGTGCTTTGTCTAGAGATTAGTCAGAAAGGAGTCAGAACACAGGAGAAATGGTTGAATTTGAGCAAGACAAATACAGATACTAAAAATGGCAATCAAGCACCCAAATACTCAAACAGATCAGTGGATTTCAGAGTTATTATTTTTAATAGCAGAATCACCCCCATCCCCCAAATAAATCTCATTCTTTAACCAAAGAATCAAGAGTGGCTAGGGTTCTGGGTTCCTGTCTCTAGATCTTCTCAGTTATCAAGGTTCCACATTAAGGAAATAAAACCCTCAATGATTATTTATGTTTGGGAATTTTAATATGAATAATGTTTAAGGAGAAGAGGGCACAAATCCCACATGTATCCTTTGAGGCATTATTTCAACAGTAATACACCTACTGTAATTACCAAAAACAGAGTATTTCTAGCATTACCAGGAACAGGGGAGGGACCGGGTAAACAGCCTAAAACCCATACATTAAATAAGAAAACTCACTATAGATTTTTTTAGTAGTGGGACAACCAATAAATTTACCTTTGAGTCAGGGAGAATGGCCAAGGATATGGGTCAAAACTTTGGTCTAGGGCCTTGGTGTCAGGGTGGCTAGCCAGAAACATGCAGCTTCAACGTCACCCAGGACGTCACTCTAGCCTCACCCACAACTACTGAATCAGAATCTGCATTTTCACAAGATTCCCAGTTGCTTCAAAAGCAAATGAAAGTTTGAGAAATACCAGACTAAGATATTGTAATGGGAATGAAAACAAAAATGGATCTGATGTTTAAAGAGAGAACAAGACAAGTTAGCAAATATTCAATTACTGGAGAGCCAAGGAAGGTTAAGAAGAACGGCCAGTTACTGAGCGTGGAATAATAGGCATGGCACCCGGAGGAGGCCACACAGGAGGTCACTTAGGAAAACCTTTGATTCTGGTCCTACTGGGCTTGAGGGGATGGTGCCATGACAACAATGGCATTCCTAAATAAAAAGTGGTTAAGAATCATACACAGCAATTTAGAAGCCACAGCAGAGTGAAAAGTCTATGCTTAAGGGGGACGAAAAAAAACCACAGAAAAGTAACTGAGTTTTTTCAAGTATTAGCAACCAAGAAGCAGAAGATAAAAAAATGAATAAAGAAAAAATAAATAACTGGATAAACAAGTTAAGATCCTCTCAAGATATTTAGATGGCAGAGGGGAAGGAGCCAGAGGATTAAGGCAAAGAAAGACACGCAGGTCCTTGGAAGAACTTCTCTAACGAGAGGGAAAACTGTGTAGAGACCAGTGTAAATTCTCTGAGAATAGGTCTTAAAAACTACACAAGGTCTTTTATGTTTTTGAGAAAACAGTAATCTTACCCTGAGTAATAAAGTTCCTCTCAAACTTCTGCAGAAATTCCAAGTAAAGAAGATCATCTGAGGTAAGGGCTTCCTCTCCCACCACAGCTTTCATGGCTTGCACATCCTTCCCAATAGCGTAGCAGGCGTACTGAGGAGAGAGCTCGTGTGACTAGACATGGTATGCACATGTGGACTGCTGCAGCTGTCTTCACAAGAGAACACAGGACTGCACACACAATTCACATGAAGCTCATGTGAAAGTATCAAAAGGACTTCATTATATTCTCTCAAAGAAGCCTTCAGGCATGCAATGCACAGATACTACTATACTCTACAAAAATACGCTTCCTCAGTATGCCAATGACCTTACAATTTATATAGCATCTGAAAAAGAACTCAGTTAAAATACAGAGAAATCCATCTCCAAGTTTCATTCAAGAAAAACATTTGTAACATCAAAAAGCTTATCATTTCTACTTTGTAAACTCATGTGACTACTGAAACGAAGGACTTCCAAGAGTATACCACACTGTACCCCTCAGTGGTCTGGTGCTTACCATGCTAAGCTAGAAACATGATAAAGTATCCTTTCCGGGATACTCTAGTATTAAAAATTAAAATGACCATGTGCTTTTTTTTTTTTTTTAATTATTTTTATAGCACTGGACATGGATTTCTAGCTTGGTGGTTTTAATATTGATTATTAACATCTATCTTTATGAGAAAAATATTTTGGTTCAAATTAATGATTACATAACTTTATGAAAGTTTAGTACTAAAATCCTACTTGGACAAGAAGAAGAAAAGTGATGAGAGAAAGAGGAGGAACAGAACAGCAGAAAAGAATGGACTGAGAAAGGCACTCGTTTCTTTTAAACACCATCCTCAGAACATACGTACCAGCTGGTTAGATACATCGGCGTGATCCTTTCTGGTCATACCTTCTCCAATAGCAGACTTCATTAACCGTGAGAGCGAGGGCAGTACATTAATAGGTGGGTAAATCTTGGGTAGAACGGGAGGAAAAAAATAACTATATTTAAGTATGAAATTCAAGTTCTATGGTAAAGTAAAGAAGCATGTGAAACTATTATCCTAAAATTACAAAAACTGCTGCATTTGTTTATAAGATGGGTTCTAATATCTTCCTGGAAAGAAACGGTAGTAAAAAACACTTGTTTTGGGGGGTACTAGGGATTGAACTCAGGGACACTCAACAAATGAGCCACATCCCCAGAGCTATTTTGTATTTTATTTAGAGACAGGGTCTCACTGAGTTGCTTAGTGCCTCGCTTTTGCTGAGGCTGGCTTTGACCTTGTGATGCTCCTGCCTCAGCCTCCCGAGCCACTGGGATTACAGGTGTTTGCCACCACACTTGGCAAGAAACACTTTCTGGCCTAATACTTGAGAATTAAGTCCAAAAACTTGAAAATTTTAAAACAGTACAAGACTGTTTTGAAAAACTAAATTTTCAATATATGCTTGGCACTACCACATCAAGTCTAAACAGTCTTCCAAACTGACTCAAAAAAAAAAAAAAAATCCAAAATTAAAAGTTTAACAATAGTTCTACCTAAAAGGACTTTAGAAGCCAGTATTACTACAGAATTATCAACTATTATTTTCCTATTAATAACAAGATTGGCAGATCTTATACCTTAATGGAATATAATACCCCCTAAAAGTTCTTTGAGAAAACTGACTCCATTTTAAGGTATAATAAAGAAAGATGGCAATTCTTAATTCTGGTACTTTGCCCTCACCAGAACTGTAGTTCCAGAAATGACAACTTTATGGCCATATTAAAAGCAATTCAAGTTGAAACTTGCTAAGCAAAATAGTTCTTAATAACAAAATCTAAATCACTGCAAGTAAGTGGCTCTATAAGCATCACAGAACTTTAAGTGTGAGATACCTGTCTGTTGTGCAGCTGTCTGTCCACATAGATCTGCCCCTCTGTAATATACCCCGTCAGGTCAGGGATGGGGTGAGTGATATCTGTCAGAGGAAGACATACATAGTGTTAAGCACGTGGCGACCTCATATAACCAGACCACAGGAAGCTAATCAGCATCACCCAAGAATGCCACACAGACCAACTTTCTATGATGGAATGTTCTGTACCTGTGTTAGTATTATATCCACTAGCCAAATGTGATCCTGAACACCCAGAGTGCAGCTAATGAAACTGAAGAGCTTAACTTCAAATTGTATTAATTTTTTATTAGCCTAAATAGAGCCAAATGTGTCTAGGGGCTACATATTATACCATTTAATTTGTTTGGTTACAATAGTTCAGCTGTGTTGGCACTACAAGGTAAACTGGCTGAACTCATAAAAAAAAAGTACTCTCTCTTCTAGTTATGTGCTTTCCCCTCAATGTATAAATAAAATTCCATTTTAAACACAAAGTTCTCATTCAGAAATGTGGCAACTTTATGTATACTGACAGAACACTCTTAGTCCATAAGCTACCTTAGACAGACATGTGGCATTTGGCTACACAAACAAGAGGGTACTAGACAAGGAGGCAGTGCTTCTCAGGCAGTGCTGAAATGGTCACACAGAGCCATACACTTCTAAATCTGCTGAACCAAACAAAGCTATTTTTAGTTACTCCTTTGGCTTTTTTTTTTTTTTTTTTGGTGGTACTGGGGATTGAACCCAGGACCTTGTGCATGTGAGGCAAGCACTCTAACAACTGAGCCCTAACATCCCTAGCCCTAATTACTATTTGGAAAAATTATTTTCATGTCAGAGGCAGTATAGTGTATCAATTGGTGTGAATTATGAATTTAGACTGTCTAGGTTGTAAATGTTCCACTTCTTATCCATGACAAATTACCTCTCTGTGCCTCAGATCTGCTTCTAAGTTGCTTGATAACCCAATGAATGAATATTTAAAAAGATTCAGAACAGTGCTCAATTATAGTGAGCTATTATTATTTCTGAAAATACCTAAAAAAAAAAACAACAGAGGGGAATTCTCAACAATGTCAGCCCAGGGGTCACCCTGAGCATACACCCTGAGCATCCAGGTGCTGCTCTGGATGCTTTCACAGGCACAGTGCAAAAAAGCCAATGCCCATCAGCCCTTGGTTGAAAAAGTTCTGTCTCAAGTCTTGTGGTCTTTACTATCTGTGCTCTTTATGTGGCATTTAACATAAACTACCTTACATTACTGGAGCACATATACATAAGAAACATCCCCAACTAGACTGAGTATTTACATTTAACAGAAACCAGAAATTCTTAAATTCCTTACATCTAAAACAGTGCCCTGGCAAACTGTAACTAATAAAACCTTAAAATTCAAATTACAAAGCTTTTCTTCCACAAAAATGATGATGATCATGAGTAATTCGGTACAAATAACTAACTAGTTATGGCAAACTCTGAGAGGATAAACTCACAAAAGAATTCCAACTCAACAAGGTAGATGGTCTTCTGGTTTAGAATCAAAGTCCTTGTAACAATTAGGTCTGCTGTGACCCGAAGACCAAGAACTCACCATCATTGGGCATGGTAAGAATAGGGATTTGAGTAATAGAGCCATTTCGACCTTCCACTCGACCAGCGCGCTCATATATTGTGGCTAAATCTGTGTACATGTAGCCTGGGAAACCTCGTCGACCAGGGACCTCTTCCCTGGCTGCTGAAACCTGACAGGCAGTTAAGGAAAATATCACATACCAGAATATAAAAAGCAAAGCTTGGTTAGAACATGTTTGTTTGAATATGCCAAATTAAAATTCAAAAATCTCATCCTATTTATTTTAAATACTATCTCTTAAAGTGATGAGTTGGAAAAATCTAAGATCATCAATCACATTATTCTGCGGCAAGAATGTTTACCAAAAATTTCAGTAACTTGTATTAGAATACCCCAAAATTTCTGGGTGATAAGAACCTTAATATCATTCCAAATTAAACATTTTTGGTACCCAGGGACCACTGAACCACATCCCCAGCCCTATTTTTGTATTTTATTTAGAGACAGGTCTCACAGAGTTGCTTAGCCCTCACTTTTGCTGAGGCTGGCTTTGAACTCTATCGATCCTCTTGCCTCAGCCTCCCGAGCTGCTGGGATTACAGGTGTGTGCCACCATGCTCGGCATTTGATTTTCTAAAGGGAAAAAGTTCCAAAGAAAGTGTTGCTAAACTACTTATTTAAATAAATACTACCATCATTAAAAACAGAATTCTGAAAAGAGCTAAAACCTGACAGTGTAGATAAATGGAACTTCTGGGAGAGTAACTGAATGAAGAGCTTATTTACTGTTTTACAGTCAGTTCTTAGCTCACAGAGATGACAGTGTGTTAAGGAGGCTAATAATTTAATCTCGCCCTCTAACATTTCTACCACACTGACAGAAAAGAAGTTGTATTTTCCTAAGTATTTTATTCTATTAATAAATAAGCAATGAGCTTAAAATATGATTAAGAAAATTAATCTATAGAAGCCTATAGAGTTAAGACAACCCTGAAAATTAACCCATTTTGTTTAATACAGGAAATAAGAAGAAAAAGAAAAAGTTACCTCTCGAAGGGCCTCAGCATAAGAGCTCATGTCTGTAAGGATAACCAACACATGCTTCTCACACTGGTACGCCAGGAACTCAGCTGTGGTCAGGGCCAGGCGAGGAGTGATAATTCGTTCAATACTAAAAGGAAAAATAATCCACAGGTCACTCAAAATAAAACGCCAGAAAAACCAAAACAATTCTAGACACAAGAGTATGTTTCCCTTCTAAAGTGTTCAATAAATCAAGGGCAGTAAAGCAATTGTGACTTTAAAAATTCTTAAGGCTGTTCTGTGTATTTAAAATATAAGAACTACTTAGTGCTACAAAGTTAAGTTGATCATTTTATAAACGCCCCATAATTTCTCAGAGCTACATGAATTCTCAAAATTAAGAGGGAGTGGTAAGAAAAGAAACAAAGGAAAAAAATGGAAGACAAATTTCCCAAGAACAAGTCACTTGAGTATCAATTATGTGCTAGATAATATAAAAAAAATATGACCCCATTTAACATGTACAACACTATGAGAGTAGTATTATTTATCACATTTTTATGAACTTCAGGGTTTAGGTAATTTGCCCAAAACCAAATAACTCCCAAGAAGCAGGGCTGACATCTGAATATAGGGTTACTTCATTCCTATATTCATAGGTAACATTCTGACCCTCATTCTGGGAAAACAGAAAGAAATAGCTCCATTTACTTACGTTGGGTCATTAGCCAAGTTCAAAAAGAGGCAGACATTGTCCATTGAGCCATTTTCTTCAAAGTCAGATTTGAAGAACCGGGCAGTTTCCATGTTTACCTAAATAGCAATGACTTCATCAGTGCTGGGAAGATAAAGACTCTCAACATTTATTACTGATGAAGGCCAAGTTATACATCTGAATTGTTTCTTCTCTTGAAATTTAAGGTACCCCAAAAATTTCCCCAAAAGTCAACCAAGAGCAGCTCTGTGCAGGAAAAATAATCTTTTAAGTTTCAAGTCAAATGCTAAACTTTAATTCTCAATTTGGCCACAGTGACAAGTTGTTTAAGTTCTCTACTCAGAGATAAAGTCAGCTATATGTGTAGTTTACAACACTGATCTAGCAACACAAGCAGTTAACTCCACATGTTATACTAACGCAGAAAAACTTCATACTTACACCCATAGCAGCAAATACAATGGCAAAATTTTCCTCACAGTAATCCACCACATCTTTGGATTTCTTTACCAAACCAGCCTGGCGACAGATTTGAGCTGCAATCTGATGAAGATTAAAAGAACCAAGTTGAATTCTAAAATAAAATTTCTACAGCAAAATAATTTTTATCCTAACAACTGTGATTATTAATGAAACTGGAAATATTTTAGTGGTTTTACTCAACAAAACTATTTTGTAATTGTTGCAAAGATCCACAAATGGATCAGCTGATATAAATGGACTACATAAACAACACAGTATTGTGTATTTATTAGGTTTCTCAATAAATGATACATTTGGAAATTCTTCCCTATAAATTTCACACCAAACAGACCCTAATTCTCACCTCATTGTGTGGTAACCCAGCAGCAGAGAAGATTGGAATTTTCTGGCCCCGAGCTATACTGTTCATGCCATCTATGGCAGAAATACCAGTCTGAATCATCTCCTCTGGGTAGATTCGACACTGAGGATTGATGGGCTGACCTAATATATTCCAAAAGGGGAAATTTTAGTATGCCTACAAATTATTCATAAATGGAAGTATATATCAAATTGAACTAAAATAAAAAGCTCAAAAAAAAAAAAAAACCCAGAAAGCATTTACTCCTACTCTTAAAACAATGTTATTTTTGAAATCTGAAATAATTTTTTCCTTTAGTCCTCTGTAGACACTCACAAAACATACAGCAATAGTGAGGTTCCTAAAGTGAAATAAAAGTATAGCAAACAAGAGAGAAGTCCTAATTTCACAGCCATGATTTTATCATGAACACTCAGACCCGACCTAATAAGATTTTTATAATATCTTATGATACTACATTAAAAATTTGAAGACAATTTCTAGAAAAATCAATTTATTAATAAATAAAATATCTGCATAATTTACAACATTGGTTACTACCTCAAAAACCACCAAAACCACTCTCCATCTGGCAAAGGTACCAGACAGACAGAGGTTATTTCCCCCAAACACAGAAATCCATTTAGTGCCCCTACCCATGATGTCGAGGAAGTCTTCAGCCAGTACAGAAGGACCTCTGTCGATGGGTTTTCCTGACCCATTGAACACCCGGCCTGCAAAACATAGTGAGGCAATGCAGAGAACACCCTGACTTCCAAATGGAATTTTTTAAGAGTTTTAGGAAATATGTTTAAAAGAAACAGATCTCTGCTCAGAATGAATAACAATGTCCATTTACCAAGCATATCCTCAGACACTGGTGTTCGGAGAATATCCCCAGTAAACTCACAGGACGTTTTCTTGGCATCTATACCTGAAGTCCCTTCAAATACCTATCAAGAAAGAGAATTAATCAGAAGGGTAAAAGCAACTTGTATCATGGGCACTTACTAGACCAAGAGTCTTGCAAATCAAATGCCACAAGCAAGCTAGTATTGTTTATTTGTAGCATTTTTTTTTTTAAAAAAAGAGTTGTTGAAAAAAGGAATAAAAGAACAAAAGAAAGAAAATTAAAGAAATTCTGATGTCCATAAAGCCTCAAAAATTTTCTGACTCTGTACTCCTTACAGAAATTTTGCCAACCCCTACATATTTTAGGGGAGCATTTTATTTGAGAAAACTGTTTATCTTTATTATCAGATAATACTAAAACTAGGAACTGTAAAAGATAATTTAAAGAAACTGACTCAGACATCATTTGATTTCATATCATCATCAGTGAATCCTACTTTTTATCTCTCTCCTTTGGTGTGACGATCTTTATTTTTTCCATTTAAAAATCAATAAAACATGAATATTCTTCTCCTGCAGCCAGTAATCAATCTCTAAAGATACTCTCTGAAGAAAAAAACAAGTTGTATTTCCTTTATGTTTTCTGTTTTTGGTACTAAAGACTAAACCAGGGGCACTCTAATGCTGAGCTACACACCCCAGCCCTTTTTATTTTGAGACAGAGTCTTGCTAAATCGTTGAGGTTGATCTAGAACTTACTATCCTCCTACCTCAGTCTCCCAAATTGCTATGATTACAGGCATGCACATCCACCCCCCTGACCCCTATGTGTTTTTGATTAGGATGCTTACCTGAACCACTGCTTTGGAACCACTAACTTCTAGAACCTGCCCACTTCTCTTCGTGCCATCGGGTAATGTCAAGTGGACAATCTCAGCATATCTGGGAAACTAAATGGGAATAAACAAAGGACCAATAACCAACATTTTAAAAGCTCCCTAAATAATTCTGTATGTCATCTCTACCATAGCATGTGCAACCCTTCCATCCTCCAACACATTAGCTTTGTAAGAATTCATAGCATCCTCTCCAGAGTTTAAGTCCTTATAACACACACCATTGAAAAATGCCAGCAAATATAACTTAGGGTAAAGAAAAAATGCAAGTTAAATGTATTGCTTTTCTTCTGTACACATGTTTGAGAGTATAGAAAGGCATGCTGTCCATCTATAACTATTAAAAAAAAAAAAAGGTCCTCAATGTTATCTTCTTTTTTTTTTAAGTTTTTTTTAATATTTATTTTTTAGTTTTAGGTAGTTACAATATCTTTATTTTATTTTTATGTGGTGCTGAGAATCGAACCCAGTTCCTCACGCACTCTAGGTGAGCGCTCTACCACTTGAGCCACATCCCCAGCCTCAATGTTGTCTTCTAATAGGCTTGTTTCATTTTAAGCCTTTAATTGATCCAGGTTTATTTTCGGCATCAATTTTTACTTTATTTTTCTTATTTTTCATATGAGAAATGAATGCTTCAACAATATTATAACTAGCACAAGTTGTCTCCCATGGCCTCTCAATGTCTCATCTACCAAGCTGACATCTCAGCTGTGAAGACAGCTGGTTTGGGGGCTCTTTATTTTTTTCCCCGCTGACTTGCTTATACCTGTTTCAAATCCTACGCTCAATTGTTTACTTCTGATTGCGCAACCTGGGTAGCATCAACACCTTTAGTATTTTGAGTTCATTCACTCAAAATACATGGAATCATTCAAAATAAGCAGAATACTAATTTCTTTCCTGGTCTCCCCTCCCCCTTAGGAAATCCCCAAAACTTTCAGTTGTTGGACAGAGAAAACGTCATCTTTGCATTCTGAGTTCTTTCCCCCTTTCTTTTAATTTTTTTATTTGTTCTAATTAGTTATACAGGACAGTTGAATGCATTTGGACACACGGTACACAAATGGGAGCACAATTTCTCCTTCCTCTGGCTGAACATGGTGTGGAGTCACACTGGTATATTTATATAGGGTGAAAATGTCCATCTCACCCCATCATCCTTCCATCCCCACACATCCTCCCCTCCCCTCATTCCCCTCTGCACAATCCGAAGTTCCTTCAAACCCCCAGCCCTCATCATGGATCAGCATCCGCTTATCTGAGAAAATATTCAACCTTTTGTTTTTTTGGGTTTGGCTTATTTTGCTTAGCATAATTTTCTCCAGCTTCATCCATTTACCTGCAAATGTCATGATTTCATTCTTCTTTAAGGATGAGTAATATTCCATTCTGTATCTTTCATGGTCTTTCAACTGCTTTATAGTTTTCTCTAAATAATTAGTTACAGGACACTACAGATTTGTGAAGACTGCTCCTGAACCCAGAAGCTGTTCTATACTATCTTTTCTAATCATCTGCCACTTAATGACTTGGGGTTTCTGTTTAATCACTTCAAGAAATAGACAGTTGTTGCCTTTCCAATCCTATTATATTTTAATTTCTCTGCCCTGCAGCATTACTAAGTGTCAAGCACAAAAGATGGATGGTGATGGAGACAATGCATCCTCACCTAGTTCCTGACTCTGATATTGTGATATAAAAAGAAATATATGTGTGGTCTTAGTACTATTCCTGGCCAGAGCTACTAAAACCCTTGTAATTTCCTAAGTGATAGGAGCAATAAAGGTAAAAGGAGCATCTTTCATTTGGCACCCCCCTTTTTAACTGCTTTTATTTTTTTAAATATGACAGTGGAATGCATCATAATTCTTATTACACATATAGAACACAATTTTTCATATCTTTGTATATAAAGTATGTTCACACCAATTCATGTCTTCATACATGTACTTTGGATAATTATGTCCATCACATTCCACCATCATTGCTAATCCCCTGCCCCATCCCTTCCCCTCATACCCCTCTGCCCTATCTAGAGTTCGTCTTTTCCTCCCATGATCCCTCTCCCTACCCCACTATGAGTCAGCCTCCTTATATCAGAGAAAACATTCAGCATTTGTTCTTTTGGGATTGACTAACTTCACTTAGCATTATCTTCTCCAACTCCATCCATTTACCTGCAAATGCCATGATTTTATTCTCTTTTATTGCTGAGTAATATTCCACTGTGTATATATGCCACATTTTTTTTTATCCATTCATCTACTGAAGGGCATCTAGTTTGGCGCCACAGTTTAGCTATTTTGAATTGTGCTGCTATAAACATTGATGTGGCTGTGTTCCTGTACTATGCTGTTTTTAAGTCCTTTGGGTATAGACCGAGGAGAGGGATAGCTGGGTCAAATTGTGGTTCCATTCCCAGATTTCCAAGGAATCTCCATACTGTTTTCCATATTGGCTACACCAATTTGCAGTCCCACCAACAATGTATGAGTGTACCTTTTTCCCCACATCTTTGCCAACACTTATTGTTGTTTGTCTTCATAATAGTTGCCATTCTGACTGGAGTGAGATGATATCTTAGTGTAGTTTTGATTTGCATTTCTCTAACTGCTAGAGATGATGAGCATTTTTTCATATATTTGTTGATTGATTGTATATCCTCTTCTGAGAAGTGTCTGTTCAGGTCCTTGGCCCATTTGTTGATTGGGTTATTTGTTTTTTCGGTGCTTAGCTTTTTGAGTTCTTTATATACCTAGAGATTAGTGCTCTATCTGATGTGTGAGGGGTAAAAATTTGCTCCTAAGATGTAGGTAGGCTCTCTGTTCACCTCACAGATTGTTTCTTTTGCTGAGAAAAAATTTTTTAGTTTGAGTCCATCCCATTTATTCATCATTGGTTTTAATTCTTGTGCTACAGGAGTCTTATTAAGGAAGTTGGGGCCTAATCCCACATGATAAAGATTAGGGCCTACTTTTTTTCTTCTATTAGACGCAGGGTCTCTGGTTTAATTCCTAGGTCTTTGATCCACTTTGAGTTGAGTTTTGTGCATGGTGAGAGATAGTGGTTTAATTTCATTTTGTTGCACATGGATTTCCAGTTTTCCCAGCACCATTTGTTGAAAAGGCTATCTTTTCTCCAATGCATGTTTTTGGCACCTTTGTCTAATATAAGATAATTGTAATTTTGTGGGTTAGTGTCTGTGTCCTTTATTCTGTACCATCGGTCTAGCAGTCTGTTTTGGTGCCAATACCATGCTGTTTTTGTTACTATTGCTCTGTAGGATAGTTTAAGGTCTGGTATAATGATGCCACCTGCTTCACTCTTCCTGCTAATGATTGCTTTAGCTATTCTGGGTCTCATATTTTTCCAGATGAATTTCATGACTGCTTTTTCTATTTCTATGAGGAATGCATAAGGCAGCTCTTTCAATCGTATCCGAGTGTACCTTAGGGTGAAGACTTCTGGAAAGCCCCTGAGGATGAGGGGATGAGGTGATTGTCAGGAGAACCAAGCTCTTCATTAGAGGATTTTAACTTTCACCTCATCCTTTGTCCTCTGAGCAGGGGAGAGAGACTGGAGACTGATGTAATCACACTATGTAATAAAGTCTCCACACAAATCCTAACTGAAGGGATTTAAAGAGCTTCAGAGTTTGTGGAGAATGCATCTATATGCAGAGAGGGTGGCAACCCCAGCTTCATAGGGACAGAAGTTCCTGTGCTCAGGACCCTTCGGGACCTCACCCTATGTATCTCTTCATCTGGTTGTTCATTTGCATCCTTTGTATAGCTCAGTAATAGTAAACTGTTTTGAGATGTGACAAGAGAACTTCTGATTTCAGTCAAATCAGAAAGTAGCTGTGGATAATCTAGGTACCCAATATTTGTGACTGGCATCTGAAGAGAGGCAGTCTTATGGAACTAAGCCCTTAACTTGTGGGTCTGCAGTTAGTGTCAGAACTGAGTTAAATTATAAGACACCCAGTAGGTGTCATTGGAAAACTGACATGAACTGTTGTGGGGTAAAAACCCACATATCTGGTGTCAGAAGTGAAGTACCGAGAACAGGGTTAGAGAAGAGTTCCTTTCACTAATTGGCAATGTTTCTAGAGTCTCCTTAAGGATGCTGTTTGCTAGGTGGTGGATACCTGGAAAGAGGCTAATTTGTTCTATTCCTTATTTATTAAGAGGCCTCCTTTTATAATAAAATGAGTTAACTTTACCAGATACTTTTTCTGTATTTATTGAGAAGAATATAATTTTTTTCTAGTTTAGTCAAACGTTTGCTTTTAAACTGATGTATTTTCTAATATGAAATCAACCTGGTTTACTGGGATCAACACTACTTTGTCATAATTTTACTGCTTTTTTTAACATAGATATTTTTGCTACTATCTGACAGGAATATATTTTATCAAGAATTCTGGAATCTGTGCTAACACTACCTGTTCTCTGGTTTTAGAATTTAATATAGGCTACAATAAATTGGAGAGTGGCTCTCTATCCAGACAGAATCCATGTAATTATCTGCTCCTTAAGCATATGTGTATGCAATTAAAGCCAAAAACTAAAAACCAAACCAAATCAAGAGAAAAAAAAAATCATTCCAAATTTTATGGTATGGAACTATCTTTTAAAACAAAAAAATTTCTTTACCAGTTTTTCCTCAATAAGAGCTATACTTCAGAGTAACAAACTTTTTAGTTCTCTTAAAATTACTTCACAGAGATGTTTTCTAAGTCCTTTCCATTACTGATTCTCACATCCTCCTCAATCACCGTTCACAGCACTTATCAACACACACTTAGTATTTCTGCTACATCTGCTTCTCTACTACACTATTCTTATTTTCCACCAGGGGAAGGCTGAGCTCAGATCTTAACACAATTGAAATCTAAATATTTTGTTGAGTTGCTTTTCAGTAATAAACTAATATAAAAATACATATATTAAAAATATTAGCCAAAATTTATTTAGCAAATAATGTAGGAAAAAAGATAAAGAAATAAAGCTTCTTTTAAGTGTAATCTCTATTTTTTTTTTTTAATAAAACATTAACAGGCACTTGCCTAAGTCTTATACATCCTGAGATCAATATGTTGAGACTTTGCCTAATTTGTAGACTAGTATGAAACTGTGGCCAGAAGGTGAACTTGCTAGGGTTAATTTCAAGATTTATTTGTAAAGATACCTTGTCGTACACAAAAATATTATTTTAATGATAAGCTTAAGAAACAACAAACTTTGTCCTTTCTTATAAGAAATGCTTCTCACTTTATTTTCTGCTTCCATGGGGACCACAGGCCAAACATACAACCATCATTAGCCTGTCAATAAAGCGGTAATCATGTGTTTCTCCCCTGACCCACCCCAAGAACAACTAATGTAGAATTACTCTTCCAGACAACAAGTATATAAATTACTTTCTCTGAGAACATTCTGATCACAGAGGTCAGGCAGGAAGCATAGCCTGAGACATCCAACTAAACTGTAGTCTATGCCTCACTCTCTAAGCTAACAGTAAGTGTTTATAATTTTTACTTATAGGTAAAAATTCAACATACCCAAAGATTTTTACAACAAACTGAATAAGTATACCCTATTCTTTGTTTTAGGTTATGGTCACTATTGAGATAATCTGTTCTTATATATTCATTACTTCAAAACCAATGTCAGGCTCTAAAAGTAACAAAGCTTACTCAACAGCTTAAAATTTAGTAGAAATAAGATAAGTACTATAAAAATTAACAATAAAATATAAGATACCATGTATCTGTATAATATCCTAAAGGTTATAAAACATAATAAATATTATTGCTGGTTTTCTTTCTATCTAATAAAACTATTGAGTAGGATTGGGGATTCCTCCCCACAATCTGCAGATGATGGACTCACAGAAACAAATAGAACCTATACTAACTAGTACTGAAATCCAGTGTTCTGATTTTTGGTCTCCAATTTGTTTCCTACATAATACTGACATTCAGACCACAGGATAGCTTTAAAATCATAATAAAATCTAAAGTATATGGAATAGTAGTTAACACCACACTTTTAATTACATAAATGATTTGATAATAACAGACAGTGGATTACCTTAACTTGATCTAAGATCACCAGTGGACCATTGACTCCTGAAACTGTCTTGTATGCTGAAAAGAAACACAGAAGAGTCAACTTTAGTCAAGAGCACAAGAGCCTAAATTACCTTCTCTATTACTACCAAAAAAACTTCTACTTTATTCCATCTATTATAATATGGAACACTGAACAGCTAATCAATTTTTTTAACAAAATGAATTTGTAAAATATGCCTTACTATTTTTCATAATATACTCTCATCAAAAATATTTTGAATCTTATTGGCCGAGCCACTGTTCTAAGCACCCCATACAAAAACAGGTACAGAGGCTGCCTGCCTTTAGAAGTTGAGTTTTCAGGCAGGGAGGGGGAATTTCAATGTGATGAGATAAGGGCTCTGAGATAAGGGTACTAACTGAGGCTTGCAGAGGATTCCTGGGAGCACAGCAAAAACAGAATAATAAAGTTCCTATCTTGGAGAGAAAAGGAAAAGCTTTATAGAGGAGGTGGCACTTAACTAAGTAGGTCAGGAAGGAAAAGGAATCTTAACGACAAAACTCACAAAAGAAAAGTGAGAAAATGTATTCTGTAAAGTAAAATCATAAAAAATATTGAAAAGAGACTGAGAAACAGATAATGGGCAATGGGATAAAATGCTAAGGGTCAATTAAGATAAGTAATCTTAAAAAAAAAAAGTCAAATATTACTACCAGGTTGGAGACTGATAATTCACAGCCAAGTATTCCCTAGAAATAAACTGTTACTCTATAAGGTATTAGCCATATCCTTCATTTTAGAAAGAAGGTAGTCATCCTTCCTAGTGAAAGAGATTAGGTATAAAAAAGAACATTTAGAGAGCTGGGAATATAGCTCAGTTGGTAGCTTGCTTGCCTCGAATGCTGAAGTCCCTGGATTCAATCCCCAACACCAAAGGGGGGGAAAAAAAAGGAACGTTTAGGACAAGGGAACTCAAACAGAAAACTTCAGAATTCACTAAGTTTCATAATCAAAACAGTTAAAAAACACATGACATAAATTTTAGAAGAAAATTATTACAAAGTCTGAAACAATTTATATGAAGCTGTTAAGCAATTAGGAATTTTTTCACTTGCTTGATTTGAGGTCTTCAAATGAACTTGGACAGAGATTCCTGGCACAAATATGAACTCCCAAGAATGAGGAAACCATTTAATAACCAGTCTGTCCACTCAAGGGGCTCTAAAATTTACAAACTCAATTCCTCCACCATGTTAGTAACCGTAATGGTCTCAACAGAGGCCCCCAACCTGATTGAGGTTTTTTGTTTGTTTGTTTTTTTCAACTTGCATATCTCAAGTTGAAAAATAGATGCCTGAATGAGAATGTAAGAGGATCACTCATTTCCCTTATAATTATTAGAAAGATTCCTTTTGTGGCATTTTCTATCACTTTTAGGAAAACCTTTCTTATTGTTCTCATTTAAAAGACTCCAAACATTGTTTTTCAATGAATTTCTAAAATTACTATAAAGAAATGGGAAGTGAGCTACATCAGAAACATGTCTTCTTGAAACCCAATTTTTTTAAAAATGCAAAAACAGAGACCTTCTAAAAACCTTCATCTAAACAGTGTAGAATGAAAGGGAATGAAGCTTTGAGATAAGCTTTATAAAGCTCTGTCCTGAATAAAATACATCATTAAAATCCCTCAAGTTCTTAAAATTCTCTTTAATTTTTAACAAAATAGACTCTTTTCTGAAAATCTAAACTCTACAACATCTATGCATTGGAATCTTGTGTTTAAAATTCAAATTCATGCCAAACTATGAAGTTTTGCCAGTCAGGAGCAAAAAGCATGATCAAGAAAAAGAAACATTAGTCATGGCTTTTCCTGGAAACAGTGAATGGAGCTGACTTCTACTACAGGAGATTCTACTTCCTCAAAAGAAGAGTCTTCTAAATTTTCAATATTATCTAGACTTTAAAAAGTGTGCAAATAAACCCTGTAAGTTACTTGATGAACATTAACAACACCCAAGCCACATCTGATGAGTGCCTGTCAGGAATTCTCATTTAACCTCCATCACACACCTGAGTTAGAGATTATTTCACATTTTAGAAGAGAAAAAATTATTCTTAGAGAAATTAAGTAACTTGCCCAAGGATCTGAATCTCCAGTCATTTGGTCTTTAAACCACTGCAACACAAATTCTAAAACAGAAATAAGTTGGTTGGTTGTGTGACAGGGTACATTCTAGCACTTATTTGCAAGAATTATATACCAGTACCATCCCAAATAATTTCACCAATCTGCAATTTTAGCTCAGAAAAGTAGGTATTTTTTTTTTTACTATTTTGCCCCAGGCATTATTTCCCTTGTGTCCACATTCTGTCATTACTACAAAAGAATCTTTCTCCAGTGGAGTCACAGCTGCTGGAAGAAATCTAGCAAAGAAAGGAATATCTCAGGAGGTGCTGCAGCAGTTTTCCCTCACTAGAAATCATGAAAAATGTGAGGAGGCCACTTCTGGTGCAAACGAGAGGTGAAACATGTTTAAATTGACATGTGAAAACTGAGCTAATAAATACTACAACTCAAACAAGGTAAAAAAATATATATATACTACCAAACTTTGTATTTGGAGAGTGTCATGCTTTTACAGATCATTTTCAGATCAATTATCTGATTTTACCTTCACAAAACATTGTGAAGTAAGCAAGGCTGATACAATCTCACTTTACACTTAAGGAAATAAAATCCCTAAGAAATCTGCTACCAAATGGAGGAACCAGGCTTACAAATTAATTATAAAGTTTGTATTCTATGACCTTATAGCATTTTTTTTTACCTTAGTCCCCATTATAATTTAAAAATATGGAGATGACACATTCCTAATATTTGGACTACAAGAAAACTAAGCAGAAAATGCATCTGATGCTACTACCTTTTATCCCTCAATTATCCAGCCTTCCTCACCTTTACCATCAAATAGTCCAAAGCAGAGATATCAAAGCACAGCTGTCAAAAACATTAAGTTGCTCTTCAAAAGGTTAGTTATTAATTATTTTATTTATCAAAATCGCTCTTCTCTTAGAAATTTTCTAAGAACTTGAGTCCATAGGTGAGTGTGTGGTGGATGATCAGAAAGCTAACAATATAGTAGAAACATGCTTATATTACATACTTAACACATTTTACAGCCGAAAAGCCACATCTTTGGTTCTGAAACACACATGATAAATATTGAAAAATCAAAATCCACAAAGGTTTTAAGGAATATATATTTCAGATGACATCCCCTTCCTTCTGCTTGATAAGAGATTGTTCAACACTATGAATGCCTTTAATGATTGCCACACATTCAAAGAGAAAACTCAACAACCATTGCATAATAAGAGTCCTAGTCTTTTAGGCTCCACCTTAATAGCAAAACAAAAACTCAGAGCAATCATCTTCTATTGTGTAAGAAGAGAAAACTAACCCTGAGCAGTAGGTACCTGAGAGAGAAGTTCTAGAAAAAGCAAGCAAAACATTCTTTTATGACTTTTGCTGGGGCAAGCTCTGCTTCATGATGTAAGAAACTTAAGATTAGTTGATTGAGGGTCTCAAGAAAAATGGAGATCACAAAATATTTAACATTGAAAAGCTCTATGTATATTATTGAATTTTTCTCAAGGATTAACAGAAAAGTCTTCCTTTCCTGTGACTTTAGAAATTCTATTGAAAAAAAAAAAAGGAATTCAACTGAAGTTTTCAAAATTATTTACTAATTTCAAAGCTGAACAAATATTTCCATTTCTTTTTGACAGTCCTATAATCCTGAAGTTGTGTCTTAACAGGATCTAATTTGTACAGTGAAACTGCCAATACTATTCCATTCTTTCATTCAAAAGGCATATATTAGGGGCTGTGTGTGTAGCTTAGTGGTGAAGAGCTTGTCAAGCATGCCAAGGTCCTGTGTTCAATCTCTAGTATGAGAAAGAAAAAAGAAAGAGAAATTTAAGCATATATTAAATAGCTACAACCACCTTAGATACCATCATCAATCTCTCATTACAAAAATTAAGATGTTAAGCTGGGTGTGGTGGTGTAGGCCTGTAATCCCAGCAACTCAGGAGGTTAAGCAGGACTGAAGTGCAAGTTCAAGGCTAGCCTTAGCAACTATGTGAGACCCTCAGCTACTTGGTGAAATCCTCAGCAATTTGGTAAAGTCCTGTTTCAAAATTAAAAACAAAAAGGGATGTGACTTAGTGGCAGAGCACAAATGGGTTCAATTCCCAGTACCACCACCATCAAAAAAAAAAAAAAAAAAAAAAGATGTTAACCAATATTTACTCAGAAGCATATAAAACCACTAATTAGAACCAAAAAAAGATGTGGCAAAATAGGAAAAAAATTCAAATGAAGTTCCAAGCCCATATATATTACTTATGTTTAGAATGACTCACATATGGAAGGGAAACTGTTCAGAACAATTAGGTATTGTAACTCCCTACTCTGATTCCATCCATATTAAGAATTTACCCATTAAATTATTAAAACAAGGGGCTTACATGCAAGTTATACAAGAATTTATAGAATACCTTTTATGTCAGGCAATGTAGAAGGTACTAGAGATACAAAATGGATCCCTGACCTATAAAGGTCCCATTTTAAGCAAGATGCTGCAACAGTTTTGTGGGGAAGTTCTTCAGCCATTGGTTGACATACAAAATGTGAAGAAATTATGAGAGTACTCTTTAAACAATGTTATTATTTTTTGTTCATATTCTGAATTGACATTGATATATTCTGAATTGACATTGAAGACTGTACCTTTAAGACCTTTTTCTAGAGGCACCATTAATGTCTATCTGTTCTGCCCAAAGCAAAGCATACAAATGCAATTCATAAGAGAATTGGTAGTTCCTAGGTACACTTTGCCAAGGTTTATTTAAGAATGCAACATCTATCAATTTCTCAAAAATTTACCTCAGCTCATATAACCCCCCACAGGCATTTCTGATTTAAAGAATTTCCACTGTAAAAAGCCCCATCTCAGCAATCTACAGATTCGAATACGTTTTCCTTCTTCCTTAGGCTGCAGTGCTATCACATGACCCAGTGACAGATCAGGATGGGATTAGTCAGGCTGGAGAGTGCTTCACTAAAACCCTTCCTCTGAAATTCTTTTTAACCAATGAGCCACCCACAAATAGATAGGCTGGGAATTAAACAGCACAAATGCAGTCTCGTTATTTGGGGAAACATCAGGTACTTTTCCAAGCTTTTAAAAAAAGTATTTCATCCCCAGTTCCTAAGGAAGCTGTTGAAGAGGTCTGATGTTAACAACTTATTATCTTTAATAATCAAGAACCATTTCTTTTGGAACTGCTGAACCATCTACCTAAACCTAATTTATTAAGGCCCTTTATAATCAGAACACTTAAGCCTATGCATATATGCTAGATAAGGGAAAAACTGCTTGGCTTTCCCAAAGAACCTTGCAGTCGACCTAGTTTGGTTAACTGGTCAATAATTGAAGAGGCAACGACAGAAGAAAAAAAAAAAAAAGCCCAAGGGGAATTAGGAAACCTGGATTTTCATTTTCCTGCTCTGTCAATAATTAGACATGTCTGAAGCCTGGCAAGTCCTATCTTCCCAGAACCTTTGGCTTCTCACCTGTAAAATGAGAGGGCTGGACTGGATGACTTGCAGGGTACTTTTCAGCTCTAAGGTTCTCTGGTATCTAGGTGTTCCCGCGAAGCAGCCCCTCCACCCAACAAGACACATCTCCCTCTGGCTGTGGGCCTGACCTCCATCCACCAAAGGCCTGACCACGTCAGCGAAGGCACTACACAGTCCGCCTTCCCAGAAGCTTACGACCTGCCCTGAGGTCCTCACCAGGGGGAGGAGATGGGAAGGGGCGTTCCCTCGACCCCTAGACCTTCAAACCAGGTCAGGAGAAGATTAAGATCAGAGAGACGAGGGCTCCTCTGGGACAGGCAAGTGCCTGTGAATGCTCCAGCCCAGGCAGGCTGGAGAGGGAAGGGCAGTAGCCACGAGCCCACCAACCCCAGGAAAGTTCCCGCTAGTGCTCTTGCGCTCTGCCCACGTAAGTCGTGGAAATGTCAAGCACACGCAAATCTCCTAGAGACACACTTGTGGGTCTCCGGAGAGGGGGAAAAAAATTCACCCCGCCCTCTGGCTGAGCAGGTGAGCGGGAGCAAAGGGCTAGGCGAAGAAGCGAAGACTGTTTCTCCGCTGCTTTCATATACTCACTGAGGCGAGGCTGGGAGAGGTAGTTCCGACTGACTGCCAGCGCTTGTTCCCTAGATCCCGCCATGGGCCCACTGGCGGACACGGGTAGCTCGGGTGCGGCCCCGTTCACAATCCCCCGCACCGCCCGCAGCGCCATCTTGTCTCCTCCGTCCCGACTGGCCCCACAGCAGCGCGGCGCAGGCGCAGATATACTAGGGCGGCCCGCGCACCAGGCTCCGCCCAGGCGCGCTGCGGAGACCCATCTTGGCTCCGCCCCCTTCGCGGCTCACCGCCCCCAGCCTCGTGACTCGGGCTCCGCGTGGGCGGGGCTGAGAGCGCGCAGAGCAGAGGAGCTGACCAGCGTGCTGGGAGGGCCGGCGCTCGCCAGGGAGAGGGAAAAGGAAGCAAAAGAGGGGCCAGATTGAGCAAGAGGGGAACACGTTCAAGAAAAGGCCAATTGATGTCCATTTTAGAATTGCCTTTCATTGCATTGAATGAAGAAAACTTAAACTATCAAACGCACCTTGAAAAACAGGGGAAATGTGAGACTCTATGACCAGGGTACTATGAGCCATTATTTGTTTCCCTTTGCTATCTCACTACCCAATTCTTTAACTCCTGTATCCATTCAACAAACATCTGTTGGTTTGTTTTAAGGTGTGGGCATTAGTGTGAAAGACACACAGGAACAGATTTGAAAGCTACACAAGGGTCAGAACTAAAATAGGATGACAGGCTGCAGAAGATGACAGTCCAGGTGTGATGGAGCTTGAATAGATTCTGGCGCCATTTACAGGACTGGCACAGAGAAGGAGAGAGACATTTTGCTGCTGATGAAAGAGGGAAACTATTCTGTTTGGGAATCTGTTAGGCTTCCTTGGATTGTTTGTAAATATCCAAGAAGACATCTGGGATGAACTAAGATTTGTGACGTATAAACAAATTGATAATGAGGACCTGAAAAAGACAAAGCAAAGATTGTGTATAGAGTGGGAAGTTGTTCAAGGTCCACTTTTAGGGGGATCACTAAGATGAGTGGATGGACAATCCTGCAGTCAAACTTGAAAGGTTATAAGAGATGAAAAGGACCCAGAGCACATGTTCCACAAGCCAAAAGAAAACAAAAATTTAATTTGTTATTACCCCAAACAGAAGAGAAACCAAGTAATGGAAGGACTGTAAGTATTCATTGTGTTTGACCATGAGAAGATCGTGGTGATAACTGATGAAGAAAATCAAACTTTTTTACATGGGAGGAAGATTTGGGGGATGAATTGTATATAATGGTGGTATGCAAGTTGAACATCCCTATCCAAAAGTCCAAATTTTTGGAGTATTTTATACTCCAAAATGCAAACATTTTGAGTGTCAGCATGATGCTGCAAGTGAAAAATTCCACACAATGAAATTTTGTTTCATGCACAAAATTATTATAAATATTGCATAAAATTACCTTCAGGCTATGTGTATCAGAGGTATATGAAACATAATGAATTTTGTGTTTAGAGATGGGTCCTATTCCCAAGATATCTCATGAAATATATGCGAATATTCCATCCCACCCTCACCCTCACCCTCACCAAGAAAAACTCAATTGAAATCCAAAACTCTTTTAGTCTCAGCATTTAAAATAAGAGATAATCAACTGGTATAATAAGTGAAGTAAACATTACTTAGTTACTAAAGTCTTCATTAATGATGAATGAGATTGAGCATCATTTACTATGTTTTATAATTAAGAGCAAAACATTATGTTTTAATTTATGAGATAGTCTCCAATTTTTAATTTTAACTAATGTGCAAGCAAAAGTAAAATGAAACAGGAATTTTCATGTTTTATTGGTAGGAATATAATTAGTATGAAATTCAGAAGAGCAATTTGATAGTCACATATGCTCAGAGAGTAGCACCCAGGGACAGGGGATAGCACAGTATTATGGTTAAGAGGCATGGAGTTAGGCAGACTTAAAGCCCTGACTTCAATAGTTCTATGAACTTGAACAAAAATTTATTCTCTATAGGTTTCATTTTTTACTCCATTATAAAATAAGGATAGTAATACTTTCTCATGCAATTGTTGGAAGCATTAAAAGAGATAAGAAATGCAACTTTTGGAAAAGAGCAAAAAAGTTCTTAGCTAACATTAATCATACATTTATTGATTGACAAAACATTTACACAATAGCATGTGTCAGGCTCTTTTTCTAAGTTCTAAATCGCATGCCCCTTTAATTATCAGGTAGTACATCTTGTAATTTTCTTATATCTTCTATCTAAAGACAACTTGCACTTAATACTTAATAAGTATCTGCTAGAAAGATTAAAATATGTTGCTCCTTTTCTTTCTCCCAACTTTATTTTTGTATGTGGAGAGTGTTTTCCTAAGAAATAGTGGCCCTACTCAGAATATATAGTGGTCATTGTTTTCTTATTTGTTGAAATCCTATCCTTACTCTACTCCCAAGGAATAAAAAAATCTAGTTGGCCCCGAAAGTAGGAAATGTGGTCAGAACATGAGACTCAGAGTCACCAGTCTGATTTCAAGGCTGACTGTTTCTTTACATGCACAGTGTGACCTGGGGTCAGACCTCAGTTCCTTCCGTCTCCAAGTCTCCATTTGTGAGCAGGAAAGATTTCACATCATTTATGTTTCTCAGGGATTTAAAAGAAGGTTCACATAAATCCACACCTTATATAGAAATGTGAATTCCTACTCTTTTATTACAAATATTTATTGGAGAAGGAAAATAGGGAAGGGACGGGTCAGAAAAGCTCACACTGGTGACCCAGAGTTTCCCCATATAATATGTATCTTTCTTCATTTGTTGGAAAATCTTGATAGAGGAAAATATTATGAAGATAAACCACAGCAGATTAGAGAGTTCTGTCCATTTCCATTAAGAAGAAGTGAACTAATAAAATCATTAATATAAAAATTTCAGCATAAGATGGAAGAAGCTAATGTTTCATTTTTCTTTGTTGTTGTGTTGCCTGTTTTTTTTTTTTAATTCTGAGCATCAGAATCAGAGTGATATTTATAGGTGAAAAACTACTCTGACCTCCTGAAAACAGATCTCTGTTTCTATTCCATATTCCATATTTCTTTCATTGTCATTAGGGTCACAAATGTGTTGTGAAAAAGAGAGGAAACAGTAGAGGGCCCTCTATGATAGGAACAGTGGCAACTTAAGAGAGAGTAAATGTTTAAATATAATAACCAAGAGAAGACTGATGGCTGTACTTCCCTTACCAGATGCCACTGTGCCATTGCTGATGGTCTGAAGGGACATCCTTGGAACTCCAAGTGCCCTTTGTCAAAGACTTCCTTTGATTGCCAGATCAGGGTGGTTCTTTCACATCCAAGTGCTCTAACAAAAGGGAATTTGTGGGATAAATACTAATATATCTATTCAATGGAATATTATTCAGACACTAAGCCTGATAGGAAAATATTTTATGCATGGGAAAATCTTCACAAAACAGTATTAAGTAGAAAGTTTTATATGAAATGGCATATACAAAATGATTTCCATTACTGATAGGTGTACACACACACGCTCAGAAAACATCATCAAAGAATAAATACTGATGTTAACAGCGACTACCTGAATGATGAGATTGTTGTTCTTCTTTATATTTCTCCTTTTTTTTTTTTGGTATGAGCATCATACTTTTATCTAGAATTAAAATCAGGAATATGAAGGTGCTTCTGTTTAAAATGGTATAGTTTTTTGTTGTTGTTGCTGTTCGTTTGTTTGTTTTAATAGGCAGCAGGTCCTGTGAATAGTGATACAACAGCCTGCAATCAGGTATGTGAAAAGTTCTGCATTAAAGAGGAAGTTGGTTCACTGGGGCTGTGCCCTTGAACGGGTGATTGGAATCCTGGCCCCTTCCTGTCTCTCTCTCCTTTTCCCAGCTGTCCTGAGGTAAGCTGGCCTCCATAACCATGCACTCCTGCCATGATGATGTACTGAGTCGCTGCAGGCTGAAAACAACAGTTCTGTGCACTGAACTTCAGAAACTGTTAAAATAAACCCATCTCATGGATTTTGTCTAGTAACGGGAAGCCTGATAACACAGTTACGGAGCACCTCCACTAGGCAAGATGCCAGGTGCTGTGTGGTACACAAACATGAGGGAGATAAAAAAAAAAAAAAAAATCTCTGCCTTTAAGAAGTGTGTTAGTCAGCTTTGCATCACTGTGACCAAAATACCTCACAAGAACAATTTAGAAGAGGGAAAATTTATTCGGGCTCATGGTTTTAAAGATTTAGTCCATGGTGGGCCAACTCCATTGCTCTGGGCTGGAGGTGAAACAGAACATCACAGCAGAGGAAAACTGCTTGGGACATGGCCACTAGGAAGCAGCGGGGATGAGGGACCACAGGGAAGATGCTCCCTTCCAGGGCAGGCCCCAGTGACCACCTCCTGCAGCCAAGCCCCACCTGCCTGCCATCACCACACAGTCAACCCATTTAAAGTAGGATAGACTGATTAGATCACAGCTCCCGTAACCCAATCATTTTTCCTCCGACTATTCCAGCATTAGCACAGGGGTTTTGGGGGACACTTTATATCCAAACTGTAACAGGAAGCATGCAGTCTAGAAGTAGAAAACTGTTGTGCCAGAAAAAAAAATGCCACATGCATCGTGAAGTATGAGATCTCTTCTGGATTTGGTCAGTTTGTTCTTGACCAATTCCAACACAGCTCCCAGGTGGGCACTAAGGGGAAGGAGGTGGAAGCACTGACTAGTAGATGTCACTTGGTTACCTTTTCCAAGCAGAGCAGGCTGGAGTCCAATGGGGCAGAGGTGATATGCCCTGGTGATCTGGGGAAGTAACTTGACAGTAAAGGTCCTTGAAATGATACACTGAGAGGCAAAGGGAGGAACCCCGAAGAAGGGAGGGACCTTCCCGGTGCAGAAGAGTCAAAGGGAGGTTGAGAACAAGGAGTGAGCACAAGGGGGACATGGATTTGGGCGTGGGGTTAAGTCTGTATTGAAGAAACGAAGGAAATGGTTGAGGTTGCAGGAAAGAGGCAAGAGCCCTGGGAGCCTCCCAGGAAAGTCCTACCAGGCAACACGCTGCCAAGTTCTGCATTGTACCAGGGCAGCTGCAGGCTTCTTCCCCAGGAACCCTGGCAGAGGAGACCCAGAGTGAGTTTGAAGGGACCTGGCTATGTAAAAGGAAGC